GGCTTCTTCGACTGGGGCAAGACGTTTTGGCGCCAGGTCGACATTTCACAGGAGTCTTGCGGTTTCCTGTGGACCGAGAATGTGAAGACTGACGTGCTCGGGCAGTACCTCACTGGCACTGCCGAGCGCTATTTCAGCAAGCAGGTCGACACGTGGTGGGCCGTGCTGCCTACATTGCAGTACGTGATGCAGCGCATGCTGGACACGTTCAAGACGACGATAACCGCCGCTCAAGCGATGAAACTCTTCACGGCGAAGAAAGAGAGCAAGAGATCCTGGCCAGAACACTACTTGTATCTGGTCGAGGTCAGCGACGCTGCGGGCGGCGCTGAGCAGCAGGTTCTGGACAACATCGTGCGCTACGCCTCGTCTGAGCTGTCGACAATACTCATGGCGAAATACCAGACGCACCGCATCGACTACCTCGTGCACGCGGAAGAGCTCGCGCACTTCGCGCAAGAAATCGAGATGGAAGCTAGACCAGGAAGATCCTTCGGGAAGGAGGTCGTCGCGCACTTGGACGAGTCCGTGTCGCGTAAGGAGACACGCACTTGCGACGGGTGTGGGAAAGTCGGCCATCTGAAGAAAGACTGTCGCAGCAAGAAGAATGACGACAGGAAGAGGGACAGAGGCCCAAGAGACGGCGGCAGAATCACGCTAGCTGTTGGTGAAGGAAGAGGTCGCAACGGCTCGCGCACCACCGGTCAAAGCCTGGCGATGGCGATTGGTGACGACAGCGATAACGAAGATGACGACTGGATACTCGATAGCGGTTCCAGCCGCCACCTTGTGAACGACGCATCCCTGCTGCGCGATGCGAGGGACTGCGATCAAGAGTAGATGGGGAGATCATCAAGTTAACGCAAGTCGGAAGCGTCGTGCTGACTGTGCTCGCGAGAGGACAGCAGCAAGATGTGACGCTGACGGACGTGTATCTGGCTCCCGGGTTATCGCGCAACATCATGTCCTACGGTAAGCTCGAGATCAAGAGTTTCGGGCTCGTCTACGACGGCGAGTCGCGCGTGTTGGCACGACGCAGCAATGGCCAAGTCGCGTTCGATGTGGCGATGGACCACAATGTGCTCTACGTCCAGACAGTCGCAGCGGCTTGCGAGCGACGAGCGCCTAGCGACGTGCTCATGGCGATCCTGACGAGCCAGGCAGCTCCGGAAGAACCCGAGTCGGACACGCAAAGCGGCTCGCTGCTGCACTTCCACCAAAGGCTTGGGCATCTCGCGTACGACACCGTCGAGCGTATGGCGAGAGACCCCGCGTCCGGCATCGTGCTAACGGATCGCAAGCGCCCGACGTGCGTCTCTTGCGCACAGGGCAAGCAAACAAGGAACGTGCAGTCGAAGAAGGACACTGGATCAAACTCGCCGATCGACAGAGTTGGCGGGGTGATCTGCTCAGACCTCAAGGGTCCGATGACCCCGAAGGATCGACTGCACAATCGTTACCTTGTCAACTTTGTCGATCATAAGTCGCGTCTTCCTGGCGCCTACAAAGGACAAGGCGGCCAAGAAGTTTGAGCACTTCCTCGCGTTCTTTGAGCGCCAGTTCGACTGCCGGATCCACGTGCTAAGCACTGATGGCGGCGGCGAATACGCGAATGTCGACCTCTTCTGCAAACGGGCGTCGCGCGGCAGATCAGCGAGGCGAGGAATCAGGCGTCAAACGGCAAGGCCGAGCGCATGCACAGGACGATCCTGAACATGGCGCGCAGCATGATCTTTGCCAGCCGACTGCCATTGACGTTTTGGGGCGATGCGGTCGAGTACGCGACGTACATCCTCAACCGCAGCCCAACGAGCGCGAATGCGAAGCGCGCGTCGCCGATCGAGGTACTGACGAAGCAAGTGCCGGATCTGCGCGACATCGTCGCCTCTGGCTCTATCTGCTCGGTCTACCGTGACCAGGCAAGAACTCACTCGCGCAGCGCGCACAAGTCGGCGTGATCATTAGGCGGAGCGACGAGACTAAGGGCTTTCGCGTCTTCCTCCAAAAGGAGAACAAGGTCACGATCACGCAGCATGTGCGCAACGTCGAGACGCTCAGCGCAGAGCAGAATAATCAGCTGCAGCGCGCGCTCGAGTATGAAGATCAAGCCGTGGAGCCAGCGGCAACAGCAACGACAAGCAAAGCGTCGCCGGCTGCTGACGATGCCGCATCGACGACGATACGCAGCGGCAAGAAGAAATCTGAGTCGTGGACACGCGCGGCTCACCGGACGCGCGGCGCTACCAAACGCGCACAGGCGGCCGCCGATTAGGAGGAGACAGCTGACGACGACAGCGTGGTGGCTCATGTGTATGAGTGCGATCCCAAGAACTACGGTGAAGCGCTACGCAGCACTAAGCGTGAAGGCTCATGCGCGAAGAGCTCCAAGCCCTAGAAGACAATGGCGTGTGGCGCTTGATCAAGCGACCTCCGGGCAGCAACACTCTGCACACGAAGTGGGTCTTCAAGACCAAGACCGACGCGCACGGCGAGATAGAGCGCTTGAAGGCTCGACTGGTCGCCTGCGGCAACCAGCAAGTTTTTGGGGTCGACTACCAGCTTACATTCGCGGTTGTCATGGACATGTCGACCGTGAAGGTGATCTTGGCGCTTGCGGCGATATGGGGTGTCCCAGCAAAGCATGGCGACATCCCCAACGCGTATGTCAAGGCTGACAAGTAAGCGCACTTGGAGATACTACTCCAGGTGCCGCAGGCAATGACAATCGATCAAGACGCGCTTAAGATGGTAGGCGCAGCGACAAAGAAGGAAGTAGTGCTGCAGCTACGAAAGAGCCTGTACGGCCTCAAGCAGGCTGGCCGACTCTGGGGCCAGCTCCTGCACGCTCGGCTGCTCAAAGCCGGCTTCCGGCAATGTATTTCCGGCATGTGTCTATACTACCAAGTTGAGGGTGGACAGTTGGTCATCGTGGGCGTCTACGTCGACGATCTACTTGCTACCGGCACGGACGCTGCAGCCGTTGACCGATTCTTCGTCAAGCTCGGCAGCTTGTCGATCAAGGACCTCGGTACCGTTAGCAAGTTCCTCGGCATGCGTGTCACGATTGATAACAGTGGCGGCTACGTGCTCGACCAGGCCGAGGCGATAGGCGAGCTTCTGGGTGAGCATGGGCTCCAGGATGCAAACCCGACGAAAGCACCAATTGGGACTGACTGCTACGACGTGCTACCAGATGACAGCGCGCTGCTCACCGAGACTAAGGTGCAGAAGGTGCCAACAATCAAGAGGTTCCAGTCCCTCGTCGGCAGTCTTCTGTGGATCGCGCGTTGCACACGGCCGGACATTGCATTCGCCGTGCACAAGGCGACGCGTCAGACTCATCAGCCGCGACTCCACGATATGAAGCTTGCCAAACGCATCGCGGGGTACCTGAAGGAGACGCGTGACTACAAGCTTTGGATGGAACCAGCGAAGCACCTCGACGGCAAGATCCAGCTCGAGGCGTACTCGGACGCCGACTTTGCGGCGGAAAAGAGTGACAGGAAGTCCTTGACTGGCGGCATCATCCGCCTGAACGGCATGCCGGTCAACTGGACGTCGAAGAAGCAAGGCGGCGTCTCGCTCTCGACGATGGAAGCGGAGGTCGTCGCTGCATCGGAGCAGGCGCGCGAGCTTCTTGGTATCAGGGAGATGCTAACCGAGATCGGTAAGCCGCCGGCGCTACCGATGGTACTACACGTCGACAATCAGGCGGCACTGAAGAAGCTGGCAGGCGAGGCGTCATCTCTCAAGGCCAAGCACATCGATGTTCGCACGAAGTTCGTGTGCGACTTCGCTCGACGCGGGATCATAGTGTCGCAGTACGTCCGCTCGGAGCAACAACTCGCGGATCTTTTGACGAAGGCGCTGGATGCAGTCAAGCTCGCGGCGCTGTGTGAGACGATCAGCCTCGGTTAGGACGGTAAGTCGTAGCCGAGGAGGAGTGTTAGAAAAAGGCACGGTTGAAGTTACAGTTGAGGAAACGGCTGACGACTTCGAAAGGCGTTTGAGGATCAGTTGAGTGATTGATTGGACAGGTGCGTGGATGGGTGATTAATTGGACAAGAGTGATGAAGAACAAGAACAACTAGTCCATCATGCTAGCACGAAAAAGATAACACTAAAAACAATGTCAGAATCCTTTTTTCACAGTGCCGCCGACTTCCTCTCGACAGCTTGCATCATGGCAAGCGAACAGTCTTAAAATCTTGGACACAACGTGTTGGCGCAGTAACACGTCACTCTTCTTGCGCAGTGAGTAGATCATTACATATCGACCTTTTATTATTATTAAGGTCACTGTAACGGGGTTAGACGACGATTGTAGCGTCTTTCCGAGAGTTTACGCTTAAACTCTCCTTTCTATTGCATATGATGCATCATTATACTTCTCTTTAGAGAGGTATTAAGTATGAGCGTTATAATACGGTATTGGGTAATACCGTATCTTATCGATTAGGATTCGATAAATAACTAACGCTGTATTAAGTACATCATACACAGATGTTTAGACGATACGTCGTCCAATAGCAAATTCGGCATATAATAATTACTATTATAGTAATTAATCTAGTGTAGTGTACTTAGAGTAGGACTATTCATAAAATCTTAAAGCATAAATAAAATCAGTTTTCCTTTTGAGTTTAAGATCGCAAGTCGTTCTGACTTGTTCTCTTGTGCACTTCGTGCGTTGGTTCCCTGAACCCCTAAGCTTCTAGCTTGTTCTTGCACTCTGTGCGTTGGTTCTCTGAACCTTAAGCATATTGCTTGATTGATTAAAAGTCTCTTTCCTAGTTCCTTAGAACAGGGTGACTTTAAGTCGTTTAATTAGTTCCTCAGAACTAAGTGGCTTTTAGCCTTCACTCTATTTAGTTCTCTAGAACTAAGAGGCTTCTAGCCGAAAGTCTTCCTCTGGCTAAAGAGCTGTGTAGCTCCGCTACACTTGGTAGCACTAGTAGTCAATCCTACACCTGAGTCTTTAAGACTGACCCTCTGTGAGAATGGAGAATCAAAATCACCTCTCTGAGGCACAACGACTCGCCTTAGATAAACTATCTGCGTTCGTCGGGCCTGATCAAATCGAGGCCCTTTTGGCCCAAGGCCCCGAGGTTCTAAATGCTCGCCTTGAGGCCTTTATGCGTTATGAGGAAACGCTCCTCGGGCAGGTCCATGACCAGGCAGCGTCAGCTGCGCCTATACAGTACATTCCGGTACCTGTGCCCGATGCAGAGCCAAAGGCTCGTCCACTTGTTTTAAATGTAAAGACCTTCGAAGGGAAGGAGGGAGAGAACCTTCTTCTCTGGATCCGAGAAGTTGAAATGGCAATGGATGCCGCCATGCTTGTATCCGATAAGCAACGAGTTGGCTTGGCCATTTCTAAGCTCGGTGGAAGAGCTAGAGAGTGGGCTCTAACGAGCGATGTCTCTGTAAATGCCGCATTTCCCACATGGGAAATGCTTAAAAAGCAATTAGCTTGTGTGTTTGCACCGCCTAATCAGGCTTATCGTGTGCGCTCACGCTTCCTAGCTACCCGACAGGGTAAGAAAGAATTGTCGGACTATGTCCAAGAGTTGAGAACTCTCATTGCTGCTATGCAGCAGGACCCACTGGCAGAGGAAGTCCGAGTAACCATTTTTTATGGAAGGACTTCGCACTGGGGTCGCCAGGACGGAAGTTTTCCGTGTCCATCCTTCAACTTTTGAGGAGGCAGTAAGCGTAGCGTTTAACGCTGAATTTAATTTTAAATCTGCTCGATATGGTCTGCCCTGGTATCAATCAAATACCTCTAATAGGGCGGAACCCATGGATCTCAGCCATGCTGAAGAAGCTGAGCTTCAATCTGCTGAGCAACAAGGTAGCATCCGTAGATGTTACATGTGCGGAAGCACTAGGCATCTCCGCCCTAGCTGTCCGTTGCGAAAGCAACGTTCAAATCGGCAAAGCCGAAACCCTGCTCCTAGCCAAAAGGCGAGCACCGCAGGGGAAAACGTCAACTCCCAGTAGGCGCGGGGCGCCCTACTGGGAAAGAACTAAGTTCTGTTGAATCTTTAGGAGGTAAAGGTAAACAGGGCTTAGCCCCAGGTGGTTCTGTGGATGCTCCCATAGAACAAAATTACAAGCCAGGCTTGTTGGTTGTGTCGGCAAACGGAAAGGGTTTTGAGAAACCCTGGTCAATTTTAATTGACTCAGGGGCGTCAGGGAACTATGTCCGACGTCGCTCCCTTGAGGGGAGTCAGCTGTATGCTGAGGCGCTAGAAGCGCAAGAGGGTGACAGTATAACCGTACGTCTCGCGACCGGTGTACGTGTCACCGTTCCTAAAGTTCCGTTGAACTTAGATGTGAAATTTTTAGATTTCAATAGCGTTGAACGCTGTCTTGTCCTAGATTTGGACTCGAGATATGATCCCATTCTCGGTATGGCCTGGCTGGAACGCCATGAGCCGTGGATCGATTGGAGATCCAAAACTATAGGCGCAACGCGCAATGTTCCTAGCGAAGCTTTGGAGAGTCATGAACCCACCTTCGCTAGAATACAAAAGTGCTATTGGCGCGAGCCATTAACTGATTCAGTTAGTGTGCTGGACATTGGAGTGTCTGAGTTGATAAACTCCGATGTCAACAATAATAGTGTCGAGCAGAGCTCAATGACACTTAGTGGAACGGAACGTACTCCGTTGAGTGATACTCAAAGTAATATGGAGACGCTGGATGTCGGTAATGACATCGGCTCTCGTATAGAGCAAGTTAAGGTCTATGACCTTGTTAGTAATATTGGCTGTAAATGCGATTTACTGGATGTCGGTAATGACATCGGCTCTCGTATAGAGCAAGTGAAAGTCGATGACCTTGTTAGTGATATTGGCTGTAAATGCGATTCACTGGATGTCGATAATGACATCGGCTCTCGTATAGAGCAAGTGAAGGTCGATGACCTTGTTAGTGATATTGGCTGTAAATGCGATTCACTGGATGTCGATATTGACATCGGCTCTCGTATAGAGCAAGTGAAGGTCGATGACCTTGTTAGTGAAGTCACTGGTACTAGTGACCCACTGGGTGTCGGTAATGACATCGGCCCTCGCATAGGGCAAGTAAACGACAAGGGGTCTGTTGACCTTGGGGATGATAATATCCCAAGTACTTTATATGGTACGGTCTCGTCAAGGAGACGGCAGCGTCGCCAGATGGCGGCTGCGAGACGCAAAGCGTCTGTTTTATCGCATAATAATGTCAGTGACCAGTTGTACACCCTGGTCAGCGGAGTGACAGGTGATGTAGATGGTGAGGTTGACCTTGAGGCACTCCCATCATTAAATGCTCTTTTAGAGCTAGACGAAATGTCTGTGGATGAATTTCATCAGGCCTTGAAGGTAGGTGCTCTAATCGATATGGTGGTCATTCGACCTAACCTCGAGTTGAACTCATCCTCGCTTGTCGATGAGACAGTCCTTGAAGATACCAAAGCAGCACTAAGTGCACGTAGTGGGGCATCTATTCTGAAAAACCCTTCAGATCCCTACTATCCTTTGGTAAAGGAATTCCAGGACGTGGTGTGTCACGATCCACCGTCGGTTCTACCACCTGATAGGGGCGTACGTCATGAAATTGACTTGGTTCCCGGAACCAAATACTGTGTAACACGGCAGTGGCCTTTACCCAAAGAACAGTGTGACGTCATTGACGAGTTCTTTCGTGCAAAGCACGCGGCGGGCATGGTGCGTGAGAGTAAATCCCCGCACTCGACACCCACTTTCTGTGTTAAGAAACCAAATGGTAGATGGCGTATCTTTCATGCTTATAATAAGCTCAATGCGGCCACTATACCTGCACAGACACCGATACCTAGAAAGGATGTTCTTCAGAACAATATGGTCGGTTGTACCATGTACAGTGCTCTCGACTTAGTCGATGCTTATTACCAATTGCCCATGCGAGCTAGCGATATTCCGCTTACTGCTGTTAGTACTCCGAGCGGTATGCTCTGGGAGTGGTTAGTGATGCCCCAGGGGCTATCTAATGCTCCGGCTACGTTTAACCGGTTGGTGACGCAATTGTTTCGACCCCATCGAAGTTATGCACAGACGTACTTTGATGACATTTTTGTCCATAGCCGAGCTGAACATGGGCGGTCAGATATTGAGAACCATATTGTTCATTTACGAGCAGTGCTCGAGTGCATGCACACTAATAAATTATATGCTAATGCCTCTAAGTGCATCTTCGGGGCCGAAGAAATTCCCTTTCTAGGGTGCTTCATTGGGAAGCGAGGACTACGAGCGGATCCCGCCAAAGTCAAAGCCATAGTCGATTGGCCTGTTCCACAGTCTCAAAAGGACTTGCGTAAATGGCTTGGCCTTGCCAATTACCTACACAAGTATAGCGAGAATTACGCTGATATGGCTCGGCCGTTATCCAATCTCCTTAAAAAGGATGTGGAATGGTGTTGGCATGCCGAACACGAAGATGCTTTTCAAGCGGTGAAGGCGAGCCTTCTACATGCTCCTATTTTGGCTTGCCAGACCCTGACCGACCGTTTAGCGTCGTCTGTGACGCATCGGACTTTGCCATTGGCAGTGATCTGTTACAATCAGATGATAAAGGCCGTGAGCGTGTAATCGCTTTTGGATATCGCCAGCTGAAAGCTGCAGAAAAGAACTATCCAGTTCATGACAAAGAGCTACTTGCGATGAAGTATGCCCTGGTCAAATTCAGAGTTCATCTGCTGGGCTCAAAGCCTTTTGTGATTTATACCGATCATGCGTCGTTACGCACTGCGACTCAGTCGCCGCATCTCTCGCAGAGAATGGCCAGATGGCTGTCATTCTTTGCCGAATATAATTTTGAGGTGAAATATAAGCCGGGCAAGCAAAATGCTTTGGCTGATGCGTTGTCACGCAGACCTGATTATGAGCTTGCTCATGTGACGACGTTGTCGTCTTCTATCACAGATCTCATTCGTACGGCGTATGCTAAAGATGATCACTGTATAGCGTTGCTACATGCTCTTGGCAGTGAGGAGTTTAAAGACTCGGACATTAAATTGTCGGCACGATTACGTGCGAGCCTCCATCGATATTCTATCGATGAGGGGCTGTTGTACTTTCGTACAGATGTAGCGGATCCTCCGCGTATTGTAGTTCCTCATGACGAGACTGAAGTATCGTATCCTCTATGAGGTACATGACACCGCCATTGGTGGTCATTTGGGTCGCGAAAAGACATATGGGGCAGTATGCCAAAGTTATTGGTGGCCCAAATTATACAAATGGGTGAACACGTATGTGCGTACGTGTGAAACGTGTCAACGGGTGAAACCCTCGCCCCATTCGGCAGCGTTGCTGGCTAGCTTGCCTATTCCCACTGGGTGCTGGGAGTCCATTAGTATGGACTTTGTATTTGGTCTACCAAAAGATTCGCAGGGCAATACAGGTATTGTGGTCTTTGTTGACCGTTTGAGCAAGATGGCTCACTTAGCGGCTGTGCCAGATTCGATCGATGGTATGGGTACAGCGGAGCTGTTTATCGATCGGGTGTTTCGCCAACATGGCTTGCCAGTGGCAATTGTTTCTGATCGTGATCCGCGTTTTACGAGTAAATTTTGGAAGCCGTCTTCCAGGTGCTGGGCACACGTTTGGACATGTCCACAGCGGATCATCCGCAGACCGATGGTCAAACCGAACGCGTAAATCGCGTTGTTGAAGATATCCTACGCAGAGTTTGTGCTGAAACGCCTAAGCGTTGGAGCGCTATGCTCCCTGTAGTTGAGTTTCCAATAACTCCGTGCACGCCTCTACCGGCTACACTCCGTTCTATGTGAATGGTCTTACACACCCACGCGTTCCGTTAACGCTACCACCGAGTGGTTCAGGGCTTGGTGGGGGAGAGGTTGCCGATCGGCTTGCTGATGTCAGCCCTAATACTGTTAAGAAACAGGTAAATGCGTTTCTCGCAACGCGACTAAATGTCTTACGACATGTGCAAGACGCAATGGCTGATAGCCAAGATAAACAAAAAGAATATGCAGATGCTAAAGACAGAAGTTGTATTAATGATTATGAGGTCGGAGACCAAGTATTATTAAATGCTAAAAATCTACCTACCAATGTAGTATCCGCTGTCTTTAAGACGAAGTTACGTCCGCGCTTTATCGGACCCTTTAAGGTCATTGCCAAGAAAGGCACAGCGTATACGCTTATCTTGCCGCGCAAATTGCGTACACATCCTGTGTTCTATGTCGCCATGCTAAAACCTTATCGGGATCCGTCCCAAATAGACGCTAAGGCGCTCGCGCCGAGCCCATTGGCATTGTCGCGGGACGAAGAATCTGCGCCAACATGTCAAGCTGACCCTGCATTCGGGTCCGACTCTCTTCCAGGGACGCAAGCCGGGAGTTCATCGTCTGCCTCTCCTCACGAAGGGACCGCACCTCCTGAACAAGCTCGGCATGAGCTTGTACCGATACACCGGCCTCCTCCTCCTTTGCTCGATGCGCAGGGGAACCTGCAGTTCCACGTGGAGCGTCTACTGCAGAAGCGTCGCCGCCATGGCCAAAACCAGTATCTGGTGAAGTGGCGGGGTTATCCCGAATCATGGAATTCATGGAAATTTTTTGAGACTCCCCTTCGGCAGGATTGCCCGTACGCCGTGGACGTTTTTGAGCGTCGTGCGCAGGGTCTGTCTGTTGGCGCTGACGCTTCTCACCAGTAAGGGTGAGGGTAGGCGGGTTAGCGGCCTCGGGCTGTCGTGAACTCGCGGCTACAGGGGTAGCCGAAACATTAGGCTGCTGGGTAGCAGGCGCATAATGCGTTCGTTGGGATTTCAATTTCCCCCGGGCCTTCAATTTAGCGTAATCATAACGCATCTTCCGCTCAAGTCGGATATCTGCCACATCGGCGCTTGCCCGTAGGGCCCACATGCTGCTTAAACGTCGCGCATAATGCGCCCAGCGGCTAAAAGCCGTGTCTTCTTCTTCCTCGGTTTCCCCGAGAACATAAAGATGGGAACGCCCTTTATGGGAGCGACTGGCGCACCGCGCACTTGCCTATTAAGGCGTGCCAAGTATTGGCTTTGAGTAGTGATATGGGGCTCCAGATATCGTTGTCGAAGTGCCGTGCGTGTGGCAACATCCTCAGGTGAAATGGCCTCAGGCCCAATGGTCCAACCAGAAAGGGAATGCCCAGATGCTTCCTTTAGACGTTCTTCCACCGTAGGTGGCTTGAACCTGTACTGTCGGTGGTCCTGCAGCCGCGTCATGTTCTTCGTTCGGCGCTTGGCGCCTTCCTCTTGGTCGATGGACCGCTGTTGCTGCTCGTCGAGTGGATTGGTAACCGTTACCGTTGATGATACGTCAGGCGGGTCACGTAACGCTGTTAGCGCATCTGCTGCACCACGTTCAGGGAACGGATTCGGTGCATGACGAGTGTCATCTTCACCCGTGAGGGTGGCTAAAAGGGACCCATCGGGTCCCACAAAGACGGTGTCACTTTCGTAATCAACCGCTTCGTCAAGGTCGTCCTCAATGAGGTCCCTAAGAGTCTGTGACTCACTGCCGGGAGGCGTCATGTTGTGTGCCGTGAACAAACCGTGAGGTTTTAAAAGTTCGCTAAAGCACTACCTCTATGTGGAAAGATGTCGAGTGACATTCTATGGGAACGTCAGTCTGGTGGGGGAGGGTGTAACGGGGTTACACGACGGTTGTAGCGTCTTTCCGAGAGTTTACGCTTAAACTCTCCTTTCTATTGCATATGATGCATCATTATACTTCTCTTTAGGGAGGTATTAAGTATGAGCGTTTTAATACGGTATTCGGTGATACCGTATCTTATCGATTAGGATTCGATAAATAACTAACGCTGTATTAAGTACATCATACACAGATGTTTAGACGATACGTCGTCCAATAGCAAAGTCTGCATATAATAATTACTATTATAGTAATTAATCTAGTGTAGTGTACTTAAAGTAGAACTATTCATAATATCTTAAAGCATAAATAAAATCAGTTTTCCTTTTGAGTTTAAGACCACAAGTCGTTCTGACTTGTTCTCTTGTGCACTTCGTGCGTTGGTTCCCTGAACCCCTAAGCTTCTAGCTTGTTCTTGCACTCTGTGCGTTGGTTCTCTGAACCTTAAGCATATTGCTTGATTGATTAAAAGTCTCTTTCCTAGTTCCTTAGAACAGGGTGACTTTAAGTCGTTTAATTAGTTCCTCAGAACTAAGTGGCTTTTAGCCTTCACTCTATTTAGTTCTCTAGAACTAAGAGGCTTCCGGCCGAAATTCTTCCTCTGGCTAAAGAGCTGTGTAGATCCGCTACAGTCACGGTATACTTATATCTCGACCTTGACGCCGGCGCAATAGTTCTAAGGACATACAAACATACCACTGTGTCGGAAAGCGCACTCTCCCTCACTTCGAAACCTTCGTCGTTCACCTTAAACGTCTTGCACACTTGTGTCGCAGTCGCGCACACATCACACACAGCATCTTCATTTATCTTCACACCAGCGATTCCTTCCTTGACTAAACGATTTACTATTGCGACGTCCTCTGTAAGTGTTGCAGCTACCTCGCAAAAAGAATTTTGGGCACTTTGACTCGCACACGACATCGTATGGCAAAAATGCGCAACGCATACTTCCTGTCAGATGTGGAGGAGATTGACATTAAGAGCGTAGGTAGAAGCCCAATAAGACGGGAATGTCTGAAATGTGCAGCTTGTATAGCTTTATGGTAGGTCGTGAGCATATCCACTACCTTAATTGCAAGCAAGGTCAGAAGGACAAGTGTGTGTACTCTGAAAGCACCACGGATCAGCGACGTCACTGCACACGCGCACTTAAGCCAAAACAGGAGAATGAGACGGATGAAGTACTGCATGAATAATTCTGGAAGACGCTGGGCTGGGAAGATTCGTGCACATCGAAGATGAAATTGTAACTCTTTGGCAAATGCGGCTACAAGTGCGATGCGCATACCCACGACGATAAGCCTTCGCACTGCGTTCTTGATGCGTGGCTTAAACCAGAGCCCAAGCCAAGATCAGTCTTTGACGGCTTTACGTATTTTAGCGGACACAAATTTGATTGCTCGCACGTTGCGAGTGGTGGCAAGATGCATTATGTGCTCGAACAGGATCGCTCGGGATCGATGGACGGCTGACCTTGAAGTGATCTCATGGCTGCGTGGAAAGAATACATCTATAATTGTATCGCGGATGGAGCTTCATTAAACTTAGTCTTAATGGTCACCTTTCGACAATTACGCTCAGGTAATTTACGAAGCAAAGAATATTACGACAATGACAATAATCACCTCCATTACGAGTGGATACGCTTCACGCAAACCGGGATCTTTGTGCTCGATCAAATTAGTCGAGAGCGATGCACCTGGTACTGCATACCCATTGGTAACTACGCTGCATCAACCCTCCCCCTCTCAATCAACATGGCTTCTTAGTGACTATGGAATGGGGAGCACTTGCTGGTTATTCTTTTATTCCAGCAAACCTTCGAACAATACGAAGGAACTGCGCGTTGCCGAAAAAGCGGCAAAGAACTAAGCTGCATGCAAACATGCAGCGGCTGTTAAGACTTCACAGTATCAACCAGCAGATGATCAATCGTCTTATGTTTGTTAACATCATCCTGCAACGTATGTTACAAGTTCACGTGGCTCAATGCCACGTGAAGATGTTGATCCATAGTAAGAGTTTTTTTACTCTGGTGATGATTCATCCGACTTGAAATGATCTTCCTTACTTCGGAATCGCCCGAGATGCTGCCCCTTTAGTCCCTACTTTATGAAGACAGTAGACTATTGAAGGATTAAGTGCGCTGAGACATATTCGGGTCGACTGATTAGTCAGACGACTCGCATTTTGAAGCCGAGTAAGCTCGCTGGGGGGCGTTACTCTTGATGTCAATACTGATCGTACGTAACGCAGAAGCCTCGAGACCACAATGTTTAGCGTCTTGATTCTGAACGGAAACCGCTGATGCTGCTTCAGCATCTACTGGACAGCTGGTCTGGTATGACCGGTGATAAATGCATATATACGCTGTTTATCGCGTCAAAGCTTGACGACCTTGACGTCAGTGCAAACTACTTTCGCACTACGAACGGCTTTTACATCAATGTTTATTCGAATTAATGATGGTACAGCGCACCTTGTAAGCGTGACGCTGATGCGTTACTTCAGGCTTGAAATGCGTTTATTACCAGCGTTGATAACGTTGGACATAACGTTTGGCTTCGAAAAGACATCGCTAATCGCGACAGATTTGGAAAGAGAATCGCGATCGGTGCACACTTTCACGTGCATCGGTTGTTAAAAGAGGCTGAATTGCCATGTCTTTTCTGGGGCGACCTAGCCGAGTTGCACGTGCAACTCGGTTAAAACGTTAAAGCAGGCTTATTTTCTAATTGAGTCCTGGTAGAGGGCTCGTATCTCTTCCAAGACGCGCGAAGGAATTGTTACTTTCGTTCCTTTACAAGCGCGCTGGGCCCTTGTTTTTCTATGGTTTGCCTTCTTCATCGGAAGTGCCTCGTCGTACTGCCCGACGAGGCCAAGAACTTCTGTTATTAACTGGGCACGAGGTTTTTAGCTATTCACCGAAGGCGGATAGCCACGCAACTGGACAAGGTAGCTCGTCTGACGTCCTTAACGTCGCGTTGATTTAGCAAGCGTTCCACCAGAAAACGCTTGTCATCACGAGAGTCCACCATCGGATGCGGTGGTGGAGGAAAAGTCTGGTTCGATACTTTCGTCGAACCTGAAAGCCGAGCTGGGCCGATTTTATCACGTAACTCGTGAATTATTTCGGTACGAAGACCACAAGCGGGACATGCGTCACGGCTTGAGTGAATTTGTGCAGCATCTTAAGTTTAATCGGGCGAATACCGTGCCGATTATGCTGTTGCACAGTTGGATAGCAATCGGATGATTCGCTCTTCGCGTGACGAGCTGGCGGAAGCTCGTCAGGAGATCACCAAGTGTAATGGGACGATGTACTCTTAAAATGTTCGAGTTGCAAATCTGGATCGTGAATACAAGAAACTAATTGAGACTTTTGAGCGTTGCAAGTGTCTGCACCGCTCGACGAAGCCGCGTATTGAACGTACGGACAAAGATGTCCCACGTAAACCGTGGGATGCGTACTCATGTTGCGTGGTAGCTCGATCGTGAATGCGTTGCCTAGTCAGCGCAATAAAAAAAATGGCCCGATGTACTTGAACAACAAATTTTTTGCTGCCCACGTTAGTCACTACGTGTTAAGTAAATATACTATTCTTAATAATAATAAATCTCCTTAAAAAGTGACCATTTGTCCTTACATTATTGTCTGCGTTTCGTTTTTTTTCGTTCACCGTTCTGCGATGGAGTACTGCACGAAAAGGACTACCGCTTTACAAGTCGACAGGAACTCCTCTGCTAAAATATTGCCTTTTGTTGCAGTGCATTGTTAATGCACAGCAGAGAAGTCTGTTACTAATTCAGCGATAGCATTAGTGTTCTCGCTATTGATACCTCGAACGATGCTGACGTCGTCAGTATCATCATTTCTATGAGCGCCATCGCTCTTGCTTTCTTATTCTTCACCAAAGTTGACTGACTGATATAACTTCATTTACTTACGCGTCGACCATAACGTCGGCGCGTAATAAGCGAGAACCAGATTGGTTCTCGGTCGAGCGAGTTCCTCTCCCCCGAATTAGAGTTACCCTCTACTAAGGTCGGGACAAATGAATGGCGAAGGCCATTCGCGTAGTATGGTGTATGCGGCGTGTTGACGCATGCATTGAGTTTTTGATGGCAAATTCAACCATCGACAAAAACTCACTTCAACTCGTGAACGAGTGAATGTATTCTCATATAATCTCTCTTCGAGGATGCGTTCGGTGCGTTAAGTCTGACCATGGGTTTCTAGATGGTCAGAAGTAGACACTATGATACGTGTATTAAGTGTTTATAACACGGATCGCATAAAATCAGCCGTGAACCGGGGGTCCCTATCGGACACAAGTTCACAGGGTACCCGTGAAATCGAAAGATTGTATCGATGAACACCCGTGCACAGCTCTCTGCTGTGATCGACTCAGTTACAGCAACAAGATGTACCATCTTGCTGAACCTGTCTACAAACACGAGAATACCATTATTACCGTGAGCGTCTTTGGGGTCCCCAAAGACAGAATCCATTGATACGGATTCCCAGCACTCTACCGGAACAGGTAGAGGCTGCAATGGTGCACGAAGTAAGGACTAGGCTTCACTCGTTGACACACCTCGCAAGCACGCACGTACTTGCGCACAAACTTATACTGGCGTGGCCAGTAAAAGTTGCGACTGACCGTGGGGCAAGTCTTCTCACGACCGCGATGCCGATTAGCTGGTGCATCGTCACATTCAAACACAATCCGTAATCTGAGATTATGTTGGGGAGTTACGAAGACACGAAACGTGTCGCCGTCGACGGTTGTGTAGTACAGTAAGCCGTTCCGCTGGGTGTATCGATCCATACAAGATCAATACATTGCAGGCAAGTTCTTCTTAGCTTGCTTGA